GGTGTTCCCCCAGATCTCTGGGGTTATCCCTGGGGAGTGGTGTTCCCCCAAATGTCTGGGGTTATCCCTGGGGAGTGGTGTTCCCCCAAATCTCTGGGGTTATCCCTGGGGAACGGTGTTCCCCCAGATCTCTGGGGTTATCCCTGGGGAGTGGTGTTCCCCCAAATGTCTGGGGTTATCCCTGGGGAGTGGTGTTCCCCCAGATCTCTGGGGTTATCCCTGGGGAGTGGTGTCCCCCAAATGTCTGGGGTTATCCCTGGGGAGTGGTGTTCCCCCAAATCTCTGGGGTTATCCCTGAGGAGTGGTGTTCCCCCAGATCTCTGGGGTTATCCCTGGGGAGTGGTGTTCCCCCAAATGTCTGGGGTTATCCCTGGGGAGTGGTGTTCCCCCAAATCTGTGGGAGCATCCCTGGGCAGTGGCTTCCCCCTAAACCCGCCGTCAATCCCTGGATCCCGTCTCTCCGCAGCCCCCTCAGCCCCTCGGGATGGCCGCGTGTCTCCGGGCAGCGTTCCAGGCCCTGCGCCGGCCCCGTGGCTGTGCCCGGGTGGATTTCTCCCAGCCCTTCTCCTTACAGGTACGGCAGCTGGGGATGTCCCCGGATCCGTCCTGGCACTGGGGGGCTGTTCCCAGGATGTTGGTGGGTTTGGGGTGTCTGAGGGTATCCAGTGAATCCATGCTGGGTGATCTGGGCTCCTCCCAGCCCTGGGGCTGCAGGGATTGAGTGAGCTCGTGGTGCTGAGGGCTGTGAGCACCTCCAGGCTCCTTTCTGCTCATTCCCAGGAATTTGTGGAGAACAACCTGGTGGGGCCGACGCTCAGAGGGAATCGGCCGGAGCAGCTGCTGCTTCCCACCATCCTTGGCCCGTGGTGAGGAGCTGAGCCCCGGGCAGCGTTTCCCCCTGGATCTCTGCTCCCGGCTCCTCTTGCTCAGCCCTCTCCCCCAATGTCCCAGCGTGCCAGATGCGGGGAATGTGGGCACTTTGGGTGCCGGTGTGGGGACAGAAGAGGAGATTTTGGTGACGGCGCTGGGGCTGCACACACTGAGCGGTGAGGGGTGCGAGTGGTCCCTGCATCCCTTGGGATGGCATTCCCTGCTGGGGAATGGGGGTGGGGGTTCATCCCCCCCCGGATAACGAGCCCCTCTCCCCCCCAGCAGATTCCAGCGCCTGCTCCGCCATCATGGCTGTGGGAATCACCGCGGCGCTGCTGCTCCACAGGCACCGGGAGGTGGATAAGGAGCTTTTCATCTTTCCCTTCCCTCAGAGCAGCATTCCCAGTGGGAATCCCCCTTCATCCTCCTCAG